ACATCCCAGCCAAATTCCTAAAAGATGGTGCCTCTGAATTACCAGGCCCAACTCAACACATGATAAATTTGTCCATCACCACCAATACCATGTCAAAAGAGTTCAGGGAGGCCAGAGTCACTCCCATCTTCAAGAAAAACAGTAGAGCTGATGTCAGAATTACAGGCCAGTTTGTATATTCAGTGTGATGTCCAAGATTCTAGAGAAAGCAGTGTATTGTCAAGTAGTTTAAGTATCTTAATGACAAAAATATTGTCCATAGTTAACAATCAGGTGTCATCTTACTCAACCAATACCTTCTTAATCTGATGGGCTACCTGAGACCTCAATATCATTATGGAATCCACAGACCTACAAAAGGCATTCAGTACAGCTAACCATAATATATTGTGTAAGAAATGACAAGGTAAAGGCATAGGCTCTATAGACTTAAATAACAAAAAAGGCACAATACCGTGACTGGAACGATACACAAATAACCCGCACATAAAAGAGAGAAGCTTACGACGACGTTTCGGTCCGACTTGGACCATTGACAAAGTCACACTAACCAGAAGTGGAGCAGGACAGCTATATATAGGCAGGAAGAGGTAGAGGTGGTGGTGGTGGTAGTAGTAGTAGTAGTAGTAGTAGTAGTAGTAGTAGTAGTAGTAGTAGTAGTAGTAGTAGTAGTAGTAGTAGTAGTAGTAGTAGTAGTAGTAGTAGTAGTAGTAGTAGTAGTAGTAGTAGTAGTAGTAGTAGTAGTAGTATAGTAGTAGTAGTAGTAGTAGTAGTAGTATAGTAGTAGTAGTAGTAGTAGTAGTAGTAGTAGTAGTAGTATAGTAGTAGTAGTAGTAGTAAGTAGTAGTAGTAGTAGTAGTAGTAGTAGAGTAGTAGTAGTAGTAGTAGTACAAGAATGGTATATAATACCGACAAGATGAAATTAAGACACATGCGCAACACCCGGGCATCCCTATCGTAGACGTTTCGCCATCCAGCCAGCCACTGGATGGCGAAACGTCCACAACAAAGACAACCAGACGCCGCACATGTGTCTTAATTTCATCATAAGTTGTAGTAGTAGTAGTAGAAGAGGTAGTAGTAGTGGTAGTGGTAGAAGTGGGAAATAAGGAGGACGAGCCAGTCAAATACAAAGGAAGGGGAGCACTGCAAGAGAGCTAGGTGCCCACTGAGGGAGAGCAAGCGCACAGAGGTGCGTGAAAGAGGAAGTGGTGAAATAAATGAAGAAGGAACAGAAACACGAGACAGAAGAGAGAAAGACAACCCAGAGGAGAAAAGGAAAGAGGAAAGGGGAAGAGGGAGAAGAAGAAAAAGAAAAAGAAAAAATGAGGAGTCAGGTTAAGTCACGGGTGCTCTGAAGTTTGGAGCATTTTATAATGTAGTGGGAGAGGAAGGCATCTACAGAGACGAAGCCAGGGCTAAGGTTCATACAAGGAAAGTTGTATATTAGAGAGGATTCAACTAGATGGCGACTGTTCGAGTTGGAAGTAGGGAAGACAGCTTTAGCAGAAGACCAGTCAATAGGATGGCTATGATCTCTGACGTGACAGAAAAGAGCATTGTTAGTGTCGGCCAGCCTAACACTATTTTTGTGCTCCCTAAGTCTGTCAGAAAGAGATCGACCAGTTTCTCCAAAGTATTGAAGAGGACAGGAGGAGCAAGAAATAGAGTAGACACCAGGAACATCTGTAGAGGGAGGAGTGGTATGAACGAGATTAGTGCGAAGAGTGTTAGTCTGGCGGAAGGTAAGCTTGATGTCTAAGGGACGGAGAGAATTGTTGAGATTAGAAAGACCGGAAATGTAGGGAAGGCAGAGGATAGAAGAGTTCCCAGGAGTAGAGAGTTTGGGAGAGAAGAAATTGCATTTAGCACGTGAGAGGGCAGAGTCTATGAAATGGGAAGGGTAGCCAAGACGGGAAAACGAATTACTCTCCTCTTCAATACTTTGGAGAAACTGGTCGATCTCTTTCTGACAGACTTAGGGAGCACAAAAATAGTGTTAGGCTGGCCGACACTAACAATGCTCTTTTCTGTCACGTCAGAGATCATAGCCATCCTATTGACTGGTCTTCTGCTAAAACTGTCTTCCCTAGTTCCAACTCGAACAGTCGCCATCTAGTTGAATCCTCTCTAATACACAACTTTCCTTGTATGAACCTTAGCCCTGGCTTCGTCTCTGTAGATGCCTTCCTCTCCCACTACATTATAAAATGCTCAAAACTTCAGAACACCTGTGACTTAACCTGACTCCTCATTTTTTCTTTTTTCTTTTTCTTCTTCTCCCTCTTCCCCTTTCCTCTTTCCTTTTCTCCTCTGGGTTGTCTTTCTCTCTTCTGTCTCGTGTTTCTGTTCCTTCTTCATTTATTTCACCACTTCCTCTTTCACGCACCTCTGTGCACTTGCTCTCCCTCAGTGGGCACCTAGCTCTCTTGCAGTGGTCCCCTTCCTTTGTATTTGACTGGCTCGTCCTCCTTATTTCCCACTTCTACCACTACCACTACTACTACCTCTTCTACTACTACTACTACAACTTCTGATGAAATTAAGACACATGTGCGGCGTCTGGTTGTCTTTGTTGTGGACGTTTCGGCATCCAGTGGCTGGCTGGATGGCGAAAGGTCTATGATAGGGATGCCCGGGTGTTGCGCATGTGTCTTAATTTTATCTTGTCGGTATTATATACCATTCTTGTACTACTACTACTACTACTACTACCACCACCTCTTCCTGCCTATATATAGCCGTCCTGCCCCATTTCTGGTTAGTGTGACTTTGTCAATGGTCCAAGTCGGACCAAAACGTCGTCGTAAGCTTCTCTCTCTACAGACTTGTTTAAATTTTACCTGAGCAACAGGAAACAAATTGTCAAGATCAATAATACATATAGAACCACAATCCCTGCTGACAGAATGTGGGATCCCCCAAGGTAGTATTCTGGGTCCCTTACTATTTTTGTTATGTGAATGACATGCTCATCAGTGTCAAGTGTGAGCTTCTGTTGAATGCAAATGACACAATGTTCTGCTAGTCTCAGGTAAAGACCCACAAGATATGGCTAATGTACTATCATTGGAATTAGGAGTCCTGCATGAAATGGTTAGTAGACAAACTATCACTCTGGAAAGCAGAAGCCATACTCTTTGGCACAAAAAGTAAACTGAAAGGGTAAATACTTTTAATGTCCAGTGTAATGGGAAACCCATCACTTCAATGTCTTGAATGAAATATCTGGGAATTCCATTTGACCCAAGCATGTCAGGAAAACTGATAGTGAACAATCTAGTAAAAAGGAAAATGGCAGTCTAAAGTTCCTCTAAAGACAGGTACAATGTCTACCCACTGAGACTAGCAGGACCCTATGTCTAGTTCTTACACAGTGTCATGAGATTCATCTTGGGCCTGTGTCCAAGAGAGAATGTAGGCCAGGATGAATTGCAACCAGAGTAAAGTGTCAATTATTCTGGACACAAGCAGTGTCCAGAATAATTGACAGTTTTGTAGTGCCTACAGTAGGGGGGGAATCAGGCCACAAACCTATCATTATACAGCAATAAAGGTGTGGAACAGAACCAGTCAAAGCATTTGCCAGTTCAGGAAGAGAGCTAAAAGGTTTCTAATAAATGGAGCCAAAGAAAGGAAGTAGAAGAATGATTTCCTCTAGTTAACATTCATGCACCTATTACTGTACATTGATTTTCTCTACTTAATGTTCTCATAAATAACTCAATTCACTATATTCCTATTATGCCACATTATACTGTAATGATTTCCACTGCAATGAATTTTAAAGGTTATAATCATGATTTATATCTGCTGTATCTTATAGCTAAGCTTATAACAAGATATTAAGGACCTCAATGGAAAAAAGGCACTGACTTTTCTGGGTTATCCTAGGTAATTTACAAGTGATAATATGTATGATAATTGTAATCATCTAAATTTGTACAACTGTACATATGTGTAGCTGTACCTACTTCACTTTACTTACTTCCAACCAATAATGTCTGTGTCTCCAACTATTGTTACATTTATTCATTTATTTATTTATTTTATGTCTTTGAAAATAGTACATTGAGATTTTACATTTACAATAATGGGTTGCAATGCAAAGAGAGCCTCTATTATGCCTAGGCATTATGGGCCGACTTAACATTATTGGTTTAGTCTCTTTGAGTTCAATTCCAATTTAACATTAAATTTCAGTTTAATAAAGAATATAAACAACTTAATTTCAATTAATTTTACAATAAGGGTGCAATAAACTGGGTAAACCCTAGTATGCACAAATACATATACCAATACAGTATGTATACATGTATGTATGCAAGGAAGCAAGCAATATCCTCTTTTTTTTTTTAAAGCCATTAAAAAGAATGACAAGAATGGGAAAAAAGGACTTGGGAAGGATAGGCAGAGCAGTGTAAAAAAAAAAAAAAAAAAAAACACTGGGTGAACAGAGAAAAAAAAATAACGTTCAGTAGCTGGAGTTTTAAACGATTGTTTTTTGTCACAGTGATGAGTGGTATATTTCCATCCTTAGTTGTCAACAAAAACGTCCTTTTAACACAACAGGCAATACTTGAAGAGGACAAGTTTTGAATGTAACTTGCCTAGAACAACTACAATACCTTTTTTGCTTTGCTTACTCAAATAACACAAACAATATTCTCTCTCTTCCCATAAGCAATTCAGGAATTCGTAGGTAATTGTGTGGATTACATAAATTCCTTGTGTTTCTGTAAGAATATCTTAACGTGATGGGTTTAAAGCTGTCAAATTGATATTTAGTACAATATAAGGAGATATTGTACTTAGTGATGTACTTCACAGTTGGCTACGAATAATGTATATTCTGCTTATCTACATGGACAAAACTAATAAAATACTATTTTCAGCAATAACTGGAGTCTCAGCTCTACAACATGGCATCCCTGTATTAGCTTTATAACAAAAACAGCTCCACACGGTACAAAACACATAAAAATAAATGCAATTCTTACAGCCTTGTTAAAGTGCGTGGCAGCCACATGCAGACGACGTTACCAGCTGATCCCTCACACCTCACTGACTAGTTACCCTACTGTAACTCCTCACCCTACAGTGACTCCTCACACTACAGTGACTCCTCACACTACAGTGACTCCTCATTCTACAGTGACTCCTCACCCTACAGTGACTCCTCACACTACAGTGACTCCTCACCCTACAGTGACTCCTCACCCTATGGTGACTCCTCACCCTACGGTGACTCCTCACCCTACAGTGATTCCTCACCCTATAGTGACTCCTCACACTACAGTGACTCCTCACCCTACAGTGACTCCTCACCCTATGGTGACTCCTCACCCTACAGTGATTCCTCACCCTACAGTGATTCCTCACCCTATGGTGACTCCTCACACTACAGTGACTCCTCACACTACAGTGACTCCTCACTCTACAGTGACTCCTCACCCTACAGTGACTCCTCACACTAGAGTGACTCCTCACCCTACAGTGACTCCTCACCCTACGGTGACTCCTCACCCTACAGTGATTCCTCACCCTACAGTGATTCCTCACCCTACGGTGACTCCTCACACTACAATGACTTCTCACACTACAGTGACTCCTCACTCTACAGTGACTCCTCACCCTACAGTGACTCCTCACACTACAGTGACTCCTCACCCTACAGTGACTCCTCACACTACAGTGACTCCTCACCAAACAGTGATTCCTCACCCTACAGTGCCTCCTCACCCTACAGTGACTCCTCACCCTACAGTGACTCCTCACCCTACAGTGACTCCTCACCCTATGGTGACTCCTCACCCTACGGTGACTCCTCACCCTATGGTGATTCCTCACCCTATAGTGACTCCTCACACTACAGTGACTCCTCACCCTACAGTGACTCCTCACCCTATGGTGACTCCTCACCCTACAGTGATTCCTCGCCCTACAGTGATTCCTCACCCTACGGTGACTCCTCACACTACAGTGACTCCTCACACTACAGTGACTCCTCATCTACATACTCCCACCCTACAGTGACTCCTCACACTACAGGTTCAATGATCTTTAGTTTTAATAATTTGTCTACCTCTCGGTCAAAATGCATCCCTAGGTGAATGGGAACTGGGGTATTATTTTCGTTTGATAGGACTGTCCGTCACTAAGTCAATCTTATGGTCTACCGTGGAAGGTAAAACAACCTGGATTATCAGTAAAAGACGTCTGAAAAAAAGGTGACTCACACATGAAGTAGTTAATGTATACTTATGGTAATCCAAGATTCATTAATATTATGGTTGTTGAGCCCGAAGTGGTCAAGAGCGTCACCAAGTAATGTAGTTTCTTTCATCTAGACTGTGTTAGAGGAGGTGTAAATTTCGATAAATTTACATCTTCAGTTGGTCTTATCAGTTCGTGTGGAAAAACTACGTCAAAGTTATTAAGGCAGTTAACGAATTTCTTCGGTTAATATTCTTAAGGATGTTGATATGATTAAAGCTTAGGATTCCCATTGGACTTCTATGAGGGATCGGCTTTCCCACAAATTTTTTAATACTTTATATGGAACTTTACATGCTAATAATAATTTATTTGACTGATCGGCAAAAGTACAAGAACTTCATCCCCTACATTTAAAACTCTTCCTCTGGTCTTTTAGGAATCACAAAATATGTTTTGTTTCTGTCCATTGACAAATTAAGTTTTTCGAAATATGTCAGAGGTCTCTCAAGTTTGGATCTAAGGTCAAGGAGAAACGGTTAGAAGACTGAACTCGCATTTACCTCCTCATTAGTCCATAAGTAATGAAGATGGTACAATGGGCCTTGGCATGTTTCTACCTAGAGAAGTTCAAAAGGTTGGAAAAACCCCAAAGAGTCACTGGGTACTTCCTCATGGCAAACACATGCTCAGGGTAGGTAAACCGATGCCACTCCTTGGTTTAGGGAGCAAGTTTCCTTAAAATGGGACTTGAGTATCGAAATTGCTGGCGCTCAATCCTCCCATTACAGGCTGGGATGATAGGGTTGTGGTGAAGATGAGGCTTCACTCCAGAAGTTGGTATAGATGTTGCATTAAGTCAGATGAGTATTGTGCCCACGGTCAGACAAATTTCTCTAGGGATGACACTCTGGAGAAGATGTAAAAATGGGCTTCAGCCTACCTCTGTAGTGGTTATGGGTCTTTAAGGGCTATGGCTCTTTCAGGGAAAACTCGAAGCTTATAAACTAATGTTAATATATATCCTATGTAACCCCCAGATGTAATGTGGTGTAAAGGACCAACGATGTAAATAGCTTACTCTTCCAAAACGGGTACCGTAAAGATAGCATTATTTTGACCATAGGTACTCGACTGGCGTACCTCGGTGAGGATGACTGTTGGCAAAACTTTACTCGTTCTACATTAGGTAGTGTCATACTGAGAGACATTTTTGGACCCCAAAAAGGTTTCCCTTAATTTTATTTTAAGGTTTTCTACGCTGGCGAGAAATGTCAGGACACTGGCTGGTCATGAGACTTTTAAGAAAGTTCTCTATGCATTGAATTGGAACAACTAAGTTGGAATAGTCTTTCTAATCTGAATTTAATTTGAATACTGACTTGTACAGATACCTTTTATATATTCATATTTATATGAAAGTTTTTCCTTTGGATCTACTTGATTTTGTGTAGAGGCATTATGGCATACTCTGTAGTGAAGGGCAATTACGTAGTAACTTGACAAAGGAGTCCATTACGATAATCTAAGGCTTTAAGTCAGGGGAAAAACTCAAGGTTGGACAGTGAGGAAAGGCCTGGGCTTTGGTCTGAGCCATAGTTTTCACCCATGACATTTTGTTGTATCGGAGAGTGATTATCTTGACTTTCATATAATCTGTGAACGGTGTTACTACTACTGGCTTCAAGAGTAGCATCAATTTTTTTTTTGGTTTTTAGATCCCACATGAATCTCAAGAGACATTTGTCTCATCTGAACTTTCAAGGGGCTTTCTTCTGACTTCTAACGGAAGAGGATCCTGAAAATGCTTTATGTCCACCTTGGCGGATGAAAGGTCATCCTCAGAAGGAGAATGCCAAATTTTACATTACCTATTAGTTAAGAGCAAGATTGTGATGGGGAGTAGTACGGCTTACAGACCAACCTTGTGAAACCATTTAGACCTCTACTTGTAACAACGGTTGGTAGGAAAAGTGTCCATACGGCCCAAAAGTAGTATGAAAGTATGCAGAGGAATGAGTTTCTTTAAGGTTAGGAAATGCTTATACAGAAATTGACTATACATGTGATTCCAGTTGTCTCGTAAATTGGTAGATACTTAAGTCCATTAACTGTTCCTGAATAGATGGTGCTTGGTCATTACAGATTATTTTTAAAACATCTTCCAACTTTTTGGACCTTCTTAGAAGTACAATCTGGACGTTTATGTCCCTTAAACACCCCCAAACAAATGACAAACAGGAATAAAAGAAGTCATTTACTTTCCATTAGAGGCTTTGTTTTCTTAACGGTCTGATGAACCTTGCCCTTAGGGTTCGATCCTTTCTAGGTCTTTATAGGAATTGTGAGCCTCAGATACAGGTCAGCCAGCCTCAGCAAACTTCCTCAGCTTTATCAAGTTACGTTCCTATGATTAATGATCGTATTGGATGGGGAAAATGAGCTGTCAGGAGCTGGTCAGCAACCATGAGCTCTCTAAGATTTTCATAAAACTGCTGATAAATTCCTGCTTGTGAAAACTCTCTTATACAAAAGTCGAACAAACGAAAGAGTGTTACCGTAACTGCTGGAATGTTCTGGCAGGCTGTAAGGTGGCATACTGAAATCTTTACTGTAAGATTTAGTGGTTTTTTCGATATGTCTTTAAGATTGCATTCTTCAGTAGGTTATAATTACATATGATATCCTGCGACAAAGTGCCATAGGATATTCTAGGCTTACCAGAAAATAACATTCCTAACCTGTAGCCCAGGTCCCCCCCCCCCCCCCCGTCAGCAGGCCATTCACAGTGGGTTAGCGGTATTTTCAAAACTGATAACGTATTGAAGTAGTTATGTCTTCACCCTTGTGAAGGGAGGTGAATTAGGTGTTGGGATATGTGCACTGATGCTCGTTGTTCCATTACTCCTTCCTTAATTGTTGTTGTGTCAGAGTTAACTTTTTAATATCTATTCAAGGAGAGATTTTTCGAGCTCGTGATCCTTTTACTCTCTCTATTAACTCATGTTCTATAGCTTTTTATCTCAACCGTTCTCTAGCTTTTTCCTCAACTTCTCTATCCTTTGCTATTTCATCAAGTTTCTTATTTTGCCTTGTTCCTCATGTATTTTAGACCATGTTACTAACGTATTTTAGACTGTTCATCACGTTCTCTAGCTCTTTCTTCAATGCATCAAGTCTATTCATGCCCTACCTTTTTGTCATTCTCTCCTATCTCTTTCTACAAGTCTTTCCTGATTCTCTCTCAATTCTCTCTATCTCCTTTTTCTCCTCGTCTTTCAGGTTCTCTTTCTCCTTTTTCATCTTCTCTTTCGTTCTCTCTCTCTCCGTTTTGTCTCTTCTCTTCTCTGATTCTCTCTTCTCTCCTTTCTTCTCTCTTTCCCCTTTCTATACTCTTCATTCTCTCAATTCTCTCTATTTCAAGATCTTTTCTGGATCTTGCACTAATGAAAAGATTCTAAATTTTTTCCATGTTATGACTACCTAACTTAATTCCAGCGTTCAATCCAAAACTGGTATTCCTCCATGTTGCAAGAATAAAACTTAAACTATCAGGGGAAATGAAACGGGTATTAAGAAAATGAAGGGTTCAAATTGTCCTGCTCCGTTCAAACTGTAAATAAACAGAGGCTCGATCCCTGCATCAATTAAACAATATGTATTATTAAAACAAGGGTTCTATGCACTGATTCCAAGAAAACAGTAAGGAGTATGGGGTCATGACAATCAATCTTCTAACCAAACATAATTCAAGGGGTGTAACGACAGTTACCTTGATAAAATAAGAGCTCAATGAAACAAATTGTCACTGGAAAATCTCGGGTCCCTAGAGTCTAATCCTCAATGTGGTTGCAAGCTCACAAGAAAGGTGGCAGAATTAACTATTATATC